ACTTTAGAAACTGTAGTAAACAGGGAACTGGAGGCAACAAAATGTCTGTTGAAACAATTTGGCATCTCATACTTATCTGACACAGGAGCAGAGTCAACAAATAATTGCGGTGGCACGGGCAGGTCCGATGAGTGAGTGCTGCCATGAAGAGATTTAATAGTATACTATAGTTAGTCAGCTTGGTTTTCTGACCTATTCCATATCCTATGCTGTTTAACCTTAGACTACTGGACAACAAATTGACCTCATTTCATCAAATGAATAGTTACACATGCATACAAATGAACAGTATTTATTTATAATTATTCTTTCCTAACATGTGATTCTGTCTTTTTGTCTTTCCTCCTATAGAGGACCTGATAGCGTCCGTCCTGGACCTGCCATTGTACGTTTGTTTCTCTTTCCAGTCCCTCTCAGGTCCAGTCGGCCGGGGCAGATGGCTGCTTGTCCTGGGCCTGGTTCTGCTGGTGGACCTGCCATTGTGTATCTGTTCCTCCTTCCCGTTCCTCTCAAACCCAGTCGGTCAAAGCAGATGGCCGCTTGTTCTGAGCCTGGTTGTGCTGGAAGTTTCTTCCTCATGAGGGAGTTTTTCCTCTCCACTGCTGCATCCGTGCTTGCTTAGGATGGGAGACTGCAACAAAGTGAAAACGTGAAGCACTCTGTTGGCTCCTTAGATAAATACTGTTATTAACCAATTGTTACGTGAATGTTTCTGTTCAGTGCCCTGAGATGACTTCTATTGTGAATGATGCTATATAAATAAACTAAATTGAATTGAATTGGTGTTTAAATGCATTTCTCTAAAATCTAGAACTGCGCGATTGTTTATGCATTTGTATCAAAGCCCATTTATGAGTTGAACGCATCCATCTTCAATTATTTTAACACATTGTCACGCTGAACTGGAAACTTGATTGGCTTTACTGCACAATGCGTTGCAGTCTGATTACGTGTAGCAGAGTGAGACTTTGTCTAAACTTTATTTGAGCACAATCTAAAACAAAAACATCTACTGTATCTAAAGTACATTCTATTGGTGGAAAGTTGTTTCAGCATGTCCAGAGGGTGTTTCTCCTCACAGAATAATCATAAATAATTAATATAACACCATCATGTGGAGAGTTTAGGTAACTTCACTTTCAGGTCATGAGTGCTTCAAACACTTCTGGTCCTTTAGCTTAAGTTAACATTTTGCTGTTTAGAAAAAAAAAAAAAATCACGTGGTTGTTTCCCTGTTTATTGTTGCTTCTGTTTGTTTTCTGCAACCAAACCACTTCAGCATCCTTCAAGCTAGTTTAACAGTTCTTATATCAAACAGTTTGGCTCTATCAGGAATAATGTGCTTTGCCTTTTAGTATCTGTAAACTTTATACTTTTTGCACTATTTAACTTTATTTATTAAAAACAAAAGAAATACATTGAGATCTCTTCAGATTCCTTTAAAAGCACTGGTCTCTGAAGTTTACTTCAATCCACTTGCTCTATTTTGTTTATGTTCCATTTAACGTTTATCAACTGTCTTGCTATATGTTTAGCTTTTGGCTACTGTTTTGCTACATTTAATATTTAGCTACTATTTTTTTTTCAAATTTTAGCTTTTAGCTATGGTTGTGCAAATTTTAGCTTTCAATTATCCCTCCATCATCTTTCACCCACTTTTTCCCTTTTGGGTCATGGGGGTCACTGGTGTCCATATCCAGTAGTCACAGAGGCGGGGGACACCCTGGACAGGTGTCCAGTCCATCACAGGGACACATAGACACAAACAACCATTCACTCTCTCAATCACACCTAGGGACAATTTAGAGTTACCAAATCAGTCTAACATGCATGTTTTTGGTCTGTAAGAGGAAACTACCCGGCGAAAACCCACGCATGCACGGAGAGAACATGCAAACTCCACCCAGAAAGACCCCCGACTGGGATTTGATCTGACAACCTTCTTGCTCAGGGGCGGCAGCTCTACCAACTGCACCACCGTGCTTCCCAGCTTCCATCCAGTTTTATGATTTTAGTTTTTATCTGTTTTCATAGTTTAAGCATTTAGCTACTCTTTAGCTAATTTTAGCTTTTTGCTACAGTTAGTCTCATTTTAACATTTAACAAAGCTTTTTCTCATTTTAGCTCTTCTTCAACAAATTTTAGCAAAGTCATTCAGCACTGCCTTTTTACCAAAAATGCAATTTATCTAGTTTTTTTATATATATTTAATTTAAGAAGGAAGTACAAAGATGATTTAAGAAACCAACAACCCTTTCTTCATACACAGAGTCTTGGAGGGTCCACAGTACAGCACAAATAATAAAAAAGGCGTACAGTCAAATAGCTAAGGCACAGACAAGTTAGATTTGTACTTTCTTGGACGTGCACCCAGATTTGAACAGTGGCAGTCAGCTGAGCAGAGTCTGTAAAATATCATTTATCACATAAATGTGAGAGAAGGTTTGAACAAAAACACAAGTACAGTATGCACACACAACATTTTAGTAGGTTAATGTGAACAAAGATATTAAGTTTGACCACAAACAAGGAAATTGTTGGTTTGGTAATTGTCTTGGCATGGGACGATGCAGTTTTCTTCATCGGGGACAAAAGTTGTCTGGCTCAAAGGTTACACAAACAGAACGGAGGGCGTCAAAATGTTGGTAGTTTCTGCTCTAACAAAATAAAATGAAACAAAATTCAGACCAAAGATCAGTAAAATTAGTTTACAGCTGCACCGGTTCAAACACAACGTTTTACACCACGTTTCTCATTCAACCCAATAAACTGTTCTTTTCAACACAAATATCATTTTGTCTGCATGAATCACATTAAGTAGGTTTTAAATAGCTTGCACACCAAAATAAGACCCTTAATGCCCATATATGGCACTGGTTTAGCAAAATGGAGTTTGAAGTCATAATATAATCCCTGTAAATAAAATGTGACTGAGACAAAATATTTTCAAGTGGACTTCTGTAAAACCAAACAAAGTTCAGTCAGGTCATGTGGACGGTTTCTGGTTTTATTTTGTTGAGACGTTTTGTCCCTTCATCCAAAGAACTTCATCAGTCCGAGGAGACAAACAAACTCAGTCCCACAAGCAGCACACTCCCATAATGGACCAACCAGTTTGCTGGTGATAAGATGGTTTCTGGGGCCCACCCTCTCCCCCGTCCTCCATCCTTTGGATGAAGAATGAAAGGTCTCGACAAAAGAATGAAACCTTCCAGATGACCTGACTGAACTTTGTTGGACTGTTTTTTTTTTTTTTTTACCTGGATTATTGAGCATGAACTTTGATCTTCTGTAAAATGATATTACACAACTAATATCTAATTGTTTGGAGATAGCTCTTTTGATAACCCCAGTTTGGAGCAACAGAGTGTAAACCTGACTATCGAGGAGCTTACGGCTAGTTTGAGATGGGTCAAGATCAGTATGAAATCTTTACAACTGATATTTCAAAACTTTCATTGGTTCATTTAGTGTTTTGTACAATTTTACACCACTGCCAATTCTGTATTCCACTTTTAATCCAGCAGAAATATTTGACAAGACTGATGGAATTGCCTCCAGGCTGTACCTGCATCTGTGCTACTGCTAGCTGCTACTGTAGTTAGATGCACTAGCAAATGACCATGAAATTATATTCAAGTATGTAATAAGAAACTGACAACAATGAAACTGATAGTTAAAGTAAAAAGAAAACAGCATTAGCATTACCTGCTGTATAATTTCTGAAAGTGGAGATGTTTCAAGATGGCAGCAATCCACTTTAGTCTTAGCCTTGCTTTAACCATTAGCACGCCAACCAGGTCCAAACTAATCAATGTTTCTCCAGACTGAGGCAATTCAAATATTTATCTACAACAGGTAAGATATTAATTGTTCAACTAATTGTTGTGAGGTATTGAGAAATACATTTGTTTTTTGGTGAACAAGTTCTACAAACAGAATTTCAGACAGTACAGACAACAGGCAAAGGTTTAGAATAAACTATATAAAGAAAAACATTGTACATCTGGTATTTATTCTCATTTTCTTAAATAACTGCATCACCCTGAGTAAACTTTTCAGTCCTGCTCAATATTTCCAAAAACATCCATCCATTGTCTCCTTTTTGGTGTTGTGGAGGTCACTGGTGCCCATATCCAGCCACCACTGTGCAAGAGGCGGGGTGGACAGGTCGCAGGATGCAAGTCCATTCCAAAAATTTAATTAAAAATAAAAAACAATCGTAAGGAAACAAGTTGTAACACTTTCTTATGACTCAGACCTTTCCACTGTCTCAGGCCTGACTGTCTCCTTCCTAACAGCAAACTCCCCTTTAGGAGCAGAACCACCATGTATTATTATTATTATATGACCAGGACAGTTTACTGCAGCTGAAATCAATGTGTGTGTGTGCTTGTTTATGGTACGTTGTTAGGACCATTTTCCAACACATACTACATAGTGAGGACCAACTGCTCTTTGTGGGGACCAAAGCCCAGTCCCCATAAGGTTCAAGTGTCGTTGGTGGGTTAGGACTAGTGTGAATTGAGGATGGGTTAGGTATGTACTGGTAATGGTTAGGTATGTACTGGTAATGGTTAGGTTTAGGGTTAGGGATGTACTGGTGGTAATGGTTAGGTTTAGGGTAAGGGTCAGAATTAGGCTATAGAAATGAATGAAAAATGAATGGAAGTCAATGCAAAGTCCCAGTAAAGATAGTAAAACAAACCAGTGTGTGTGTGTGCTTTGGTTTTGCGCATCGTTATAAACATTTGTTGTTTGTTGGCAGCATATTTTAGTGAAAATTGACAACGTGCAAGAACTGCAAATGAAGAAAGGTTGTCAGAAATGGATTTTATAACCAAATTGCAAAAAATGATAAAACTACAACAAAAATAACGTTTTTTTTTTTTTTTACTCTTAAATATAGAACGTTGATTTTCCACATTGGTCTATTTTCCACTGAGGGTTTTAAGTGGAAAACGCAGTTATGTATGTTGAGTTCCTGTGAGGCTCAGAAGTCAGTCTGTCTTCCCATCATGACCATTAGCAGTCACATTCTCTTGGTGGACTCTCTGCTTGTGCCAGCTCTTACTCTTTCGTCTGGCAAATCGAACAATGTCCACCATGAAGACCCAGGATAGAGCGTACATCGCCACTCCTCCGCACTTGATAAAGAATCTGGGTCGTGGAGAGATCAGCTCACAGTACAGCATTGTGCCTCCCACGAACACTCGCATCACCACGAACAGCAGCACAAACAGGACGTCCACGACGTCCCCCAGCCGAGTCTCGTAGCGTCCCGTCTGTTTGAGGAACCAGCGTGCCTGCAGCAGAGGGTTGGTGATCTCGCTGCCAAAGAGCACGGCGCAGGACTCGATGCCAGACTCCCCCAGCCACAGGGTCAGCAGGATTCCCAGGATGCTCATGGTGTGGTGGGCCAGCATAACGGGTCCTTCTGTGCGGAAGTACACACACCAGGCCATGTCAAAGATAAAGTAGCCCAGACTTAGCACCATGGCACTGATCTGGAGAGGGGTGTTCTTAGTTCCTACAGCATCCACGTGTACAAAAAATAGACAAAAAGAAAAAGAGTTTAACTTTTCCAGTACAATCACTTAAACAAAACAAATACAACTCCAGGGAGAAAAATAAACTGTTGCTACAAAACATTTAAACTGCAAACTTTAATGTTTTCTGAATATTTTTCACACTTTAAAATAAATTCCAGTTTGTATTCAGGACAAACTGGTATAAAACAACAGCTCCTTTAAGTAATACTTTTAGATTGTGTTAATCAAAAACAGGAACGATTTGTCTTTTAAAAAGTTAAAAAAAAAATGTAATAAAATGTTTTATTAGTTACTCAAACTACAATCAGACTGATCGACAGTGAAAAGAAATACAATGCTGATGAAGACTTTGGGCTGCTGAAAGTGCAGATTTGTATTTTTTAAGTGAATTTTTGTGTAAAGGTAAACATCACACCTGTTGCAGATAGCTCTTGGAATGACCTTTTTGAATAAATAAGGTTTAATTTTGACCTGATTCACAAGCTAACAGCTAGTTTGAGCAATGCTAAGATGAAAGTGGATTGCTGCTCGCTTCAAAACAACTTCATTCTGAAAAGTTTCATATTGGATTGTGCAAACGCTGTTTCATAAACCTTTAGACGTTAACCCTCGTCCTTTAACTTTAAGACCATTCGTGTTCCTTAGGGATAAAACTGAACACCATGCATTGTGTAAACATGCTATTTTTAATATTATTTTCCACAATAAACTATGGTAGTCAATCTTTAAGAGCTATCTTAATTTGAAATATAATTAATTAATTTTAACTCTTTATGGGCCTTTAGATAAAAAAAAAAGGCATTTCATTGAAAAAAATAATGTCAGTGTCTGAAATAAATAAATACATTTATTTTCCACCATTAGTACACCTCAAAATACTTTTTGACTATTAAAAAAAATAAAAAAGACAGTCCTGAGTTTTGTGAAGACCCTCCAGTGCACCAGTAGCTGAACATAAGGTCTTGTTTACAGTCAGACTTAGCTCAGTAGTAAGACGGGCAGTTTTTCTTTACCCGCTTCTTCCTTTTCGGATCGCGAGGGTCACTGGGGTCATGTCCAGCATTCACTGTGTGAGAGACGAGGGACACCCTGGACAGGTCTCCAGTCCATCACAGGGACACATAGAGCCAAACAACCAAACAACCATTGTCTAGGGACAATTTAGAGTTACCAATCAGTCTAACATGGATGTTTTTGGTCTGTGGGAGGAAACTGGAGTACCCGGAGGAAACCCATACATGCACAGAGAAAACATGCAAGCTCCACCCAGAAGGGTCCCGGGCTGGGATTTGAACCGGTGACCTTCTCGCTGAGAGGCAACAGCTCTACCAACTGTGCCACCGTGCCACCAGCATTTTAAATCATTTTTTAAAAACATTTTTATTGTTAATTATCATTATATCTACTCAAGCACACCGCTAGCTTTGGTTTTTGCTTTTACTGACCTGCAACCTGGTGTGCTAGAAAAAAAAAATATATATTTTTTTTAAAAACAAAGATTTTTAGGTTTTGTCAGAAATAAATTATATTTATTGATTGCACAATAAATAAATGAATGTGTGGCTCTTTATGGCAATTCAAGGGTTAATTTAGAATTACACAGGTTTAACTTAAGGACTTGCAGGGCAGCACAGGGAGCTTTTGGCAGGAATATGAAAATATTCCTATAGGAATAACTGTGTAACACTAAATATTGTGGTAAAGTGTATTAGTTTGCGTTCACATGAACTACAATGGCATTTGTTAAATTAGTGTCGTTTTAAGACAGTAGCAACTCGCTTTATTCTTGGACTTGTTATGACTACATGATAGTTCCTCAGTCATGTCAGAATTGAGGTATTTTACCCAAACAGGGGTTGTTTAAAAAGCCATCCACAACAGGTAAGACATTAACTGTTCATACCCTTTCCACAGAACTCCACTTGAAATAAGTTGCATCATCAATTCCTGCTTTCAACAGCCCTGAGGTCATTTTTCTGTCTGCATTAAAAGTTACACAGCACAAGTGTCCCACCTGGATAAGTGAAGGGCCAGGGTCCGTCCACGTATCCTATGTATGCAGTGATGCAGACTGCCAGGATGCCGTGCACCAGAGTGACAAGACGACAGTTCCATTCGTAGCTCCTGGACTCGTTCACATTACACAGGATGAAGTAGAACAATGCCCAGCAGGACAAGCACAGGAGTGCACAAATTACAAGCAGGGCCATCTTCTCTTCTAAAAACAAAAGAAACAAGGACAATTTCTACAAACAACAACAAGCAGCTGGAACTTGTGAACACTGAGCAAACTTGAAATCAGATTAGAGGATTAAACAAATGTAAGGAGACCCATCTTGCTCTGTAATATCACTTACAGTAGAAAGAAAACGACAGAAATGCCATCCAAAGAGTCGGACTGTGCCTCCTTTGTAAATGAGCAACAATTAGCCTTTGCTTGAACTAGAATAGTACTATAGTTGGCTGAGGGTCTGGTGGGGTGAGAGGGACGTCTCATCCTCTGCTGTGACGTTTGTGCTAGGAGGTGAGACCATGCAGACGGACAGAACCACCCTCTGAAGACAGGAACAAGATGTACACTTGACCCTTACAGACTTGGAGCCAGTTATAAAACTGGTTGAGAGGTTACTGGGTGCTCGGCCTCAGACAGGTTCCCATGAGGAAGACACTCTTTCAGCAGTTATTAAACAAACAGAATATGAATCATTTCAAAATTATTTGTCATACTTCAGTTACAAAACCAATTTTCATAATAAATCAGCTCACAAAATCTGTGTTTATATCTTGAATTGTTTGTGGATAAATCAGTGGCGTCTAGAAGAAGGTTGTTACACAACATTATTACATCCATCCATTTTCTTTACCCGCTTCTTCCTTTCTGGGTCGTGGGGGTCACTGGTGTCCATATCCAGCAGTCACCGCGCAAGAGGTGGGGGACAGGTCGCAAGCCCATCTCAGGGCCACATAGAGACAAACAACCATTCTCTCTCACTCACACCTAGGGACAATTTAGAGTTACCAATCAGCCCAACATGCATGTTTTTGGCCTGTGGGAAGAAACTGTAGAATCCAGAGAAAACCCAAGCATGCACGGAGAGAACATGCAAACTCCACCCATCCAGAAAAGCCCCTGACTGGGATTCGATCTAGCAACCTTCTCACTGAGACGGTAGCTTTACTAACTGTGCCACCGTGCCACCCTATTCAATAATCAAATTACATGTTTTGTTCTCTAAATTGTGCAAAAAAACCCCCAAAACTATTATTTTGAAATTGTCACATTTGAAAGACTGGAATGTGTGGGATACACACTGACTGGCAAAACAAAACAAAAACAGTTTGATACTGGGATGATTTTGATTGGTGTATGTAGCAGAATGATAGAATTAGCAGGGTTTTACTTACCGGGTATTTACTCAGATATTTAATTTTTAAAAATTATTATTTTACCTGACAACTTATGTAGATTAGAAATGACTAAAATGTTTAAATGCAATTAATCTAAGATATTATTGATGGGAGCTTCCTGGGCGATGGAGGGCAGGCTTGGTTTTTATATTTTGAGCAAGCAAAGAGCACAGATTCAATGAAAACAAATGCTAAATAGGTTTGTACTCTTTGTCCATCAGTTGACATAGACAGTCACCTCTAAAAATCTATGTCCCTTGTGAACCTTTCATATGCAGGACACTTATTGCGATTTTAATGGGAATTCTTTCTTACATGCTTGAGGCTAGATTGCTAGCTTGAAGAGGAACAGCTGCAGAAAGGTTCCCATGACAACCGACAGGAGCTGGTAACTGGCTGGATTAATTAAAACGTTTTATTCTCTCGTCTTTATGGTTAACTGGAAGTAAAATAGCCCATGTTGGCAGAGGGAAAAAAACAGAACCAATACGTGTCCACCTGACTTGAGGGATGCTGTAGCAACACGCTAACTACGAGCATCTGCTGTGATGGCATTAGCAGGCTAGCTACTAGCATGCTAAGAATGCACAACCGTACCAAGACGATGTTTTATTTTGGTTTGCAAAAACGGTAAAAAATTATTACCTTGGAAGGAAACATCTGGCTTTCTTTCTGATTACGTTCTGGTCGTTTAAGTCCTCTGTATGAATATTTTAAAACAGGATATTCTGACACATAAATTGCTATTTTGTCAGTTTTTTAGCAGAGCTGGCTACGAGCACAGCCTCCATCCTTAAATTCTTCTGCTCCCATTCATTTCTGTGAAATAAATCAAATGTCGCACGTGACGTTATTCTTTCTGTAGAGCAGCGACATCTGGTGGTCACAGGCAGGAATTACAACTCTATTTGGAAAATGAATTACATTACTGCAGATCAACTGAGGACAGGTGAATCAGTAAACACACATTTTACAGTTGTACACAATTAAATAATACCTTATTAATATAAGATAATAAAATGAGTTTTTTTCTTATCTTTATTCTGTTAATTTTGTCAAACCGTCCATGAAATCATACAATGTCCCATACAAACCCCACTAAAAACTGTAAACACAGTGCAAAAGAAGGCTTTATTGATGAAACAATTTATATAAAAACAGCTCTAGAAAGTACATTACCTAAATTGCTCGGTTTCTCTTGGTAAGAAAACATTGTTTTAATAATTATTATTTTTTACAAGTAATTTTTTTTAATAGAAAAACATGTAACAAAATATTCTACAATTATATGACAATAAACATCAGTGGAAATGTTAAGGCACTTGATTATCAAAAGAACACCACAAATAGGAATATTTTACTCATTTGGTTCTTTAGTTAGCAGGACGTGCCAACATGTAAAACTGAATGTGTATTGTGAAAGGCCAAGCTGGAGGTAAAACAATTCAAAAACCTACTTTGTTACTGTAGAAAACAGACAGTCAAAATGTTAATTTGGTCCCACAGTTTCAATAAATGCTCCTTGAATTATGCATAAAATATTCAGATATGTGACAGGTGTAAATTATTTAAGCGATAATAAGACACAAACAAAAAACACATTTCAGCAGAGGGACAAAATGAAAGCTACACCTTAGTCAACCAGAAGATGGCAGTAGAAATCACTAAAACAGTGGCAGTTCTGGCTCTTTCTAGAAACAAACTTATTTTTTTGGGGGAAAAAATCTGATGATTTTGCTAACTTGGCATTTTTTTAAACAGTCTTAGAACATGACAGGAGATACTCCTTATAAACGGGTTGTATCCAAGTTAATCTGCCCCATAAGGTACAATCATAATCCTGTTTATCAACGCTGGCTGTACAATTGGCAACACATACACAACATGTGAATAAAAATCTGGAAGGTTAAACTGTTCTTAAATTAATACTTCTTGATATTGAGGACCTGTGGCTCTAATAGTTAGATTTAAGAGCTTAGCTACTGTCCAAAAAAAAAGAACAATCCGATGTGGTTATTGTGACAAAAATATACAAAATCAGTCCTCCACAACCAAAATAAATAAAGCCAACAGTGGCAGAGCATTTTCTTTATCCTTACTTGTTTATTTTATTATAAACAAGTTTAGCTGAAAGTTGTTGGTTTTTTTTTAATTCACAGAGCTTTTTTTTTTTTTAATCAAAGATTAATCCACCATCCGTATTTTCCTTCACCAGGATGGAGGATTGTGTTTGTCCAACTCCCATGAGTGAGTGTTGTTACTCTGCTAGTGTTCAGCTGAGCAGAAATCCACTGTGAAGCTTTGTGCATACCATAACTTGTTCCAGAGGTCATTGTTGTTGTCTCCCAAACACTCTCTCTCACCAAAAAAAAAAAAAAAAAAAAAGGCACAAATGTGGTATTTTTGGCAAAGTGACACGAAAGCTAAATGTCAGAAAAGCTGTGGAGCGACTGTTTCCGCTGCATCGGTCCTTCCTTTGTTTTGGCGTCAAGTTATGACCTGAATCTGTTTCTGTTTTAAGATGCACTCCCTGCATGAGAAACGTTCATTTACCACCATATGAACCAAGGTTCAGTGTAAATGAACAGAATCACTGGAGAAGAACTGGCCTGGCTGAGCAAAAACTTTTTTCTTTTCTTAATTATTCTGAAAAAAAAGCTATGTCTCTTCATCCCATAGGCAGAGCTGTTTTTGGGGAACATAGTAGGTAAAATGGTAGCCCTTGCTGCAGCTCTTTATGCCACACTTGTAGGTGGAGCCTTTGCCCACGGCGTCCCGGCTGCGGCAGAACTTCAGCAGACAGGGGTACCACTCCAGACGCAGGCTGTATGTGCAGAGACACGGCTGCCACAAGTCTTTAGTGGAGTGACACGCCTGAAAGCTGGACGCCTCTGTTGTCTGGGGCAGAGCTTCGAATACAGAACTCTCCACTCCTGGAACACAAAACCAAGGATCAGAGCTGGTCGCGTTTCAAACCAAAGCACCAGACAGCTGAGTGACTCACTTGCTGCTTAATTTCATTTCATCGCCGTTACAAGCTGAAGAAAACCGTTTAAAAGAGTGCAGTCAGGGAGCTTTGTTATGTTAAGAAGACAGTGCTCTGATTCCATCTGCAGACGAACCATGACCATCAAGATTGTTTTTCTGTGCAGCATGACCGTCAGAGAACAACAGAGCTGCCACATGGATTCTCCTCAACCTACATTGTTAGGCTTTATTAGTCTTACTGCTAACAGCCTCTTACAAATATGTTCAGTATCTGAAATATAGGAAATACACCATGATGTCTAATTCAAAATGTTTTCTCTTCATAAAACAGGACAATAAAAAGCTAACCAGTCTGAGAAACACGAGCAGGAACAGCTACAACTGTGGTTCCCAACCCTGGTCCTTGAGGAACGCCCTCCTGCATGTTTTTGTTTCCCTGCTTTGAGGCATCTGATTTTAGTGAATGAGTGATTAACAGGCTTTTGCAAAACTTAAGGAAGCACTGAATCAGGCATGATGGAGCAGAAGACAACTGAAACATGCAGGATGGTGTTCCTCAGGGACCAGGGTTGGGAACCATGGAGCTACAGAGGTAAAAGGTAAAAGGGATGCTAACATTTAAAGCTTTATGGCTTTAAAACAAACATAAAAAGACGTGTCCAAGTGACAAAAGAAGAGGAGGTACAGTTTTAGAAACAGAGCATTACATATACGTATACAAGCAGAAGATTCAGGACAGAAAAGAAGAAGAAAGACCGTGGTTGTGCGTTTCACTGATCTGAACCCGTTACCTTTCTCCAGCCAGTATCTGACGTCTGCCTCCCGGGTGTAAATGGCCTCGTGTGCTTCACTACACATGTTGCGGATGTGGGAGCTGAGCTGCCAGGCCCGGGTGAGATTGACCCCCGCCGTCATCGTCAGCTGCTCAAGTCCTCGCCGCTCCTCGGCCAGTCGAATGGCCTGTGGGTTTTTCTGAGGAGACAGCGCAAGTAAACATATCTTAATGACAGAAATCTATGATAAAATGTACCAGGTGCATCTGATAAAAAAAGAAAGAAACTCCAGACTGATGAAAGATGAAACGTTTCTCTTTCACCCTTAAAGAAACTTGTCCAGATGACATGATTTAACCTTTTTTTGTGTCCAGGCACCAGAGTAAAAATCCTGCAGTTGATAGCTGAACTTATAATACAGCAAAAAGTTTAAGGAAATTAAATTAGCTAAAACATTATTATTATTTATTTTTTTGTGCTGTCACATTGTGAGACTGTGACTTTAGTTATGCATCTCTTATGCACCTTTTGGTCTTTAGACTGGTGTTGATACTAATGTTTTGAAAATCTCTTGACTAAAACATGAGAAAAATCTTAATTATCTAGTGTCTAGTAAAATCTATCACCAATAACTGCAAATAATAATAATAATAATTAAGGATTACTGGAGACTGAAATGTGTACAGCACCTAATTAGTCATTAGAACCTGCACCCACGTCTGCAAAACTATTTAAAGACTTCCTTGAATTAGTATCTTGTGAATTCACAGAAATAAAATAACTAGGCCTGACACGATAACAAATTTTGCTGGGCGATTAATTGTCTCAGAAATTATTTATATTATTGCGATAAACAATAATATTGTTAGAAATGTAACAATAATTGTCAAATTTTAGAAGAACTGTTGGTTTGTTCAGAGTCTAGTACCTTTTTTGACCATCTAATGGCAGTATAAGACTGTTTGAACCAAAGGATGGATAGTTGAGCAGCGTCTCTTTAAGAAAAATGGGCTGGAGGGCCCTTGGTGAAAATGGCGGACGCTAAGTGGTTTGAGCTCTTTAGCATAGCATTTGTCACACAAAGCTTTTAATAAAAATTAAAAAAAATCAGTAAACAAGTTCTCAGCTTCTTTTTGCAGCGAAAAACAACTTTTTACACAAAGGCACGAGTTTCAACCGTGAATTTTGGAGCTTCGACAAGACGGAGGTTTTTTCCTGCGGTCGGCCTGTTAGCTTAGCTCATAGCTTAGCATCTCAGCTTAGCTGCTTTTAACGATCCAAAAACGTGATTTTGGACGATTAAAACAGATTGTAAAGTGAAAGAGAGGGGTCAGTGAAGAGCACCAGAGTTGAGCCGTTGTCTTTGGCAGAAAGAGAGAGACACAAAGAAACGATAAAGTCCGTAAACGACTATGAGGTCGATTATTTTCATTCATCATGCGATTAATTGATTTATTGTTTATTGCGACAGGTCTAAAAGTAACCCATTCATGGATCATTGTCTTCAATGCAGTCCAGGTTGTGGAGCTTTGTTAGTTATCTTGACTTGTTTCCAAACATATTATTTAACTCTTAATGCAGTTTTTCACACCAGTTTTTGCATTTTCATATCTCCATTTACCACTGGATTTGATGGCTTTCATCACCTTTTTACCAAACGCATGAAAAGTAATCACTATTCAACAGAGAAGTACAGTCCAATTGAAGGTGTGGTGTCCCTCAAACATACCGCTCATGTCCCAGCATCAGTGTTCATTTTGTTCTGTTAACATTTAATAAAGCAGTAGCCTAAACGTGTAAAACTGGGTGTTTAAATTCTGCTTGTTCACATAAGCAGACTTTAAAGAAACGGTAGACTTTGCTTGTTTTTCTTTAACAAAACGGCTGAAAACGCGATTATCTGCTGCGTCCTACCTGTCGGAGGCGAGCCATGGACTCACTGGGGATGATCTCATTGCGGTTGAGGCGGGAGACGAAGCACAGCGCCTGGTACTGGTTCTGCCCCCTTTCCAGCTCACCCAGGATCAGCGCTCGAAATATCTTCACTTCCTGAAAGAGGCCAGAGAGGACAGATGAGACCTGGAGGACACTGAAGGCTTGCAACAGGCAGGGTTACAATAACTTACCGCTTGAAATGTGCAGCTCAAACAGATTACAGCAAATAACTCTTTCCATTGCTCTACTTAATGTCGTACTCCTCCAGACGCTGAGTAATTCAGCATGTGGAGTTCAAAGATGTTTAAACAATCGTCTGCCTAAAGTAAAGTAAGGTTTATATTCACTGCGTCCATAAAGCCTCATTTGACAGTTTGTTGAAACTTTTTATTGTCTGCAGGCCTGCTCAACGTTGCTCCATTGACGTTCTGGTTTATAGTACTGTCACATTAAAGCTGCGGGCCTGTTTACTGGCAAGCCTATCAATATTTCACCAACGCTGGGAAAGCTAGGCGTATTTTACCAAGCCGTTTTATGAAGGAAAATGTAGATATTAGAAACCACAGTGAAATTCTGCTGGCACATTTGTGTGAGATCTGGCACCAAACCCCAAGGCCTGAAGAGTGTTCTGTGTGTGTGTGTGTCGGAGGGGTGCAAAGCATGATGGGAAGCTCAAACAGTGTTGGAGCTGCAGACCTGTCTTCCTATTCATCAGACAACACCCCCCTCCCCCTTCTCTCCTTAGCTTCAGCACAGTCCCAAAACACCCCTCCTCCACTTTTCACACACCCCTTCGAAGTGAACGGGCTGCTGAGGATCAGCGAGCAGTTCGAGGACTTTCAGTCCCGGCGCTGCTGGAAGGGAACTCTGGGGTAGATCAACAACTCTTGAGATAACTCCACCAAGACCTCCTGAAGCTCTTTAGCCCCGCTTCCTGTCCAGATAAAGAAACAAAAAGCAGTAAACACTGACAAGAAGGCAACACATCCTGCCTCGCAAGTGTTTACGCACCATAGTTTGTTTTTTTTACAGCCTACTTTGCGAGATCACCGTTCTTCCATTCTAAGGGCCACTTTTGTCTGCGAGCGGAGTTTTCTGGCAGGCGTACAATACAAGCCAGGCTATTGCACAAAGCAATCATGCGATACCATTTGACCTTTGGAAGAATAATGCTAGAGCAAATATTGATTGCAACTCTGGGAAGTGCTCGAGGGTTTCCCAAAACTCAAAGAGTCAAAAGAGATGGGGAATTAAAAACCCTTAGAGGTTTTCATTTGGAGATAATAAGAAGACAAAAGCTGGAAAGATTAAAGAGAAAGTCAAGACTAGAGGACGGGTCGTGGATATCACAGTGAAGGTATAAGGAAGGAGCAGAAGTGGGCAAGTACTATCACATATTGGGGGGGGGGGGGCAGCGTCTTCTAGACCTCCCATACTGCAGACACATGGCGCTACGCTGTGACACTTTCCGAGTAGGAAGAGGGAGGACTGAAGGGAAACAGGTTCATGTCAGCCACACGGATTTGCCCCAGGGGCTTTTGGGTAATTACAGAGAGGCAGGCGAGCTCCACCAACACCAAATCTATGGAGCTGACTCAACGGTTAAGATGTTCCATATATGCCATTGTTTGTCCTGGTTCAAAGATCAGAGCACAGCAGAAGGGCTAACTGGGGAAAGATTTTTATCGATTAGTCAAAACTGAATCACCCATAAACAATAAAGAAACAAAACTCAAACGGTGGCTTGACAGTTTGAGAGAATCATCCGATTTACTCCAGATAAGACGTAACTTGAGGCTAGAAAGGGGCATGTTGTATCTTGTTTGTTTGGTCCAAAAGAACTAAAGTGTGGCAGTGACAGCGTGTGGTTTCAGTAGGGGTGTGGGTGCCTCACTCTTCTGTAGCCAGGGGTAATTTCTGTCTAAATCGTTCCTTCAAGAAAACAGAACCAAAGTGATATTTTCGCAACTTCCAATCAAAATGCATGACCATCACAGGGGGCTTGTTTTACCTCGTGTCTCATCCTGCCTTTTTAAAAGAATACCCTGGTTGTTGCTCCTCTTGTGTGCATGAAGACCACATTCTGTTTCAAATCCTTGTTTGGTGCAACTGTTCAGCTGATTGTAGCAGCCCAGAGTCTCTTTTTCATAAAACTCTACTCAGTGGCTCATGAGTGAATTTGCCAACAGAGATGAAAAGATAATGTGAAATTTTAAACAAGGATCTCACATGATCAGGCATTTGTCAAGTAATGTATGACTCTCAGCTACTGCAACACCAAAATTGAGCTCAAAATCATTAACATTGGCAGAGATACTGCCATTTTACTTAGGTTTGTGGAGTTTGATTAGCTGTGGCAGATACCTTAATGTGCCCCCATATGGTCAAGGATGCTGAAGTTTGAACTGTGGGACGAGAACACACCAGCGTGCATGCAACATCTACAATTTTCTAAACGTATCTCAAACTTTGGTTGAACACCCCACAGGGCATTCTTTTACTTTGCTGGAGTTAAACGAGCCTAGGCCTAGAAAAGGGTAACAAGAGGTGTGTGGATCTTGTTTATACAATCATGGGTAAAAGTATAAAATATCCCCTTGAAATTTAAATCTATCATTTACAAACCAAGACAGAAAAGTAATAATTCTTGTTCTTACCAGCTCATAAATTAGCCTACTATAACCACCGATTTGTTAAAGTAAAATGCAGCAACAGTGAAAACAATACTAAGTTCAACCTTATTGTTTTTAGTAGAATTAAAAAAGGTAAAAAGCAGCCAAGTGGTTGTTATCAAATGTAATTATTAGCATGAGCGCTTTCACAAGAGCAAAAGTTTTGGCGTCTGCTGGGGGGGTGTGATTTCACATCAGCAATGATCTCACTGAAACAACTGCTGCCTTCCAGTCTGAGAAGAGTGATAAATTAGTTTCTAAACCACTTAAAGTCCATCATTTCACACTGAGAAATGATTTACAAGTGGAAAACAGTCGAGGCAGCTGCCAAACGTCCCAGAAGTGGAAATCCAAGACAGTTGTTGTTGTTTCTCCAAGCCTAAAGTTCACACATTTAAAGACCGTAAGAGCTGATTACTATTTAACACAACCAGATATGTTAAAACATGCATGTTAAATTGAGTTGTTAATTTTGGGGTGGGGGGTAAATGACTGCATTAGTCCAACTAAAACTGAAGTTTTAATGTAAACCGTCTGAAAACATGGAAATGTTTGCCTTTTATTTATTTTTTTGTTAACAGACAAGTTCTTTGAATACATTGCTGTTAGCCAGCTAAAACAAGCAGCTGCGACTCTTGTAATAATAAGTTGTATTTTTGCTTTTATTGTTCATATTTCATTCATTCAACTTTTATTTATACAGGTTAGTCTCATTGAGCCTCAAGGACTCATTTACAAGAGATACCTATTTTAAACTAAGAACACAGATGAGGCACAGACAACAATAGTCAATCCTATACAAGCATATACAATGAAAAGTAAATTTAAGCAATTATATAAAAATGAAACAAAAACCGTTACATTATAAAGCAATGTAAAATACTTAAAATAGGAACATGTCTGCATTGGTTTTTGCCATGAACTTAGCAGTTGTTGAAAATCCCATAGAGTGGTCAAGTTTGACGGCTTCAGATCTTTTTGCAAGATATTCCAGGAAACAGGAGCAGTGTAAGAGAAGGCCCTTTTGCCATTGTTGGTCCGCAATGAGGGTACACTGCAGGTAATTATGTCCTGAGCGCGCACGCTGTAGCTGCACTGATGAAGTGACATGTAGGAGGAGATGTATGAAGGCAAAAGATCAAGAAGAGATTTAAAGATGAAAATGTACCAGTGAGAGAGTCTATGTGAAGTTAATGATGACCAGTTAATCAATGAATACAGTGTGCAGTGGTGGGTATGATAGTCAGTTATGAATCTCAGTGGAAGTGAACATGTATAGTGCTACAGTGTGAAAAGTGAATATTAAGTGTTTAGAATAAATCTGTAGGTTTTAAGCAGCTTACACTGGAAGTGAAACGTTGTAGCTGGCGTTTTAACAAATTACTATCTCTAATCGATGCTTCAATTTAATTGTCTTCATTTGTAAAGAAGTTCTTTTATGTCTTATCATCTTGTGCAAAAACTTTTATAGACATCATTTTGACGCCATAGAAGAAAGAAATGTGTATCTCAAGGAGATATCCATGGCTAAATAAATAATAATTTGGGACTGGTGGTGAAATAAGCGACCAAACATGAAAATGCTTTACACATCCTTATCTTAATATCTCAATTTTCTCTTAAACTGATTCTCTAATGGTACAGAAAAATTCCCAAGTGACTGTTCAGTGAACGTGAGTTTAATTGTTCCAGTATTTAACAGAAATAGCAAACTACCATAGTGTTGACGTCTTGGTAGTGTATTCGTTAAAGTCATGTCTAAAAGCAAACAGAGAAATAACAATTACATAATATCCACACCTTCCATCCAGACAGAAGCTGTTGGATTATGACATTTGCTTGGACAAGAACCAATGTTCCTTGGCTGCCTTCAAACTGGCACTGTGTACACGGGCTCACTTGTACAGACACACTCGAGCTGTGATGAAAGAAAACACAGCGAGTAATGCTGAAGGAGGTTTAACACCTGTTGGTATGATGGCAGGTAATAGCCAAAAACCAGGAGAAAGTAGATGACTGGTTAGATAACGGCTACTTTTTTAAATGTCTTCCTGCTGGGTTAGTGTCGCACAACTTTTAAAAAGAATCAGTAAATGAACAAAAGAGGAAACGTATACTGTAGGTGTGGTTTTATTGAGCGTGGTTCCTGAAATGTTTGAAAAAAAGTTCTGGAGGTAAGTGAGTGTCTGCAGAAATGTTCATGTTTTTCCACAGCAGTAATTAGAAATTCATTCAACCTTTATTTAGACAGGTAAATCCCATTGAGCCTCGAGGACTCATTTACAAGTGGGGGTTATAATCTGTTTTGCAATGCATCTCGATGCAAACATGAACGATTCTGTATCAGTTTTATAGATGGCAAAAATTGATTACTTAACGTTGATAGCCTGTTGAGAAACGCAAACAACGTAATTCTGAAGTATGTTTTGTGAAGCACTTGGGAAGTTTATGATGTGCGCACAACAGATACACAAATGGCAACTTCTGCATTGAAAGCCAGTATCTGGAAGTATTTCTGTTTCTTTGAATTTAAACAAGAAAACGATGTTCACAAAGGCCACACTTTTCAAAGTTGTGTGCATGCTCACACCTGCAGAACAAGAAAAACTGCCGATCGTTGTGCTGACTGATACAGGTGTATCTGAGCTGCAACTGTTGGTGACAAGTTGACTGGAGTTTCCAGGCTGTATAGAAGCATTTGCAGTATGGTATGATCCGGGCAAAGGTAAAGGGCTGTGTTTTGTCATCGTTGTACGCTGCCTGGCCAAAAAAAAAGGTCGCCACCTGGATTTAACTATGCAAATAGGTACGAGCCTCTTATTAGATAATTACTGCATGGACGATTATCTTTCAGCTGACAACAAGTTATTTAACTTATAGTGCAATGAGTTACTTCTCATTTCTTAAACAACCATGTTGAAAGACATCGCGTGGTCGTGGAAAATATGTCAGTCTGTTTGAGAAGGGTCAAAACATTGGCATCAAGCAGAGAAAACATCTAAGGAGACTGCAAAAACTACTAAAATTGTGTTAAGAACTGTCCAACGCATTATTAAAAACTGGAAGGATAGTGGGGACCCATCAGAGAGTCAGAGAGTCAGAGTCAAAGTTTCTTTATTGTCATTCGCACCTCATGTGGTACATGTGGTGGAGCGAAATTATGTACACAGGGTCCCAGTTACAGCCAACAATAAAATGTATAAGAAAAACAGTAATAACATCTAAGATATGAACTAAGAAAAACATCAACTAAATATACACTAAGCACTCATAACATAAAACATTGAACATCAGCACAAACATGAACATGAGTCTGTGAGCAGATGTGCACGCATGAACACATCAACATTGAAACAGATCAGCAGCAACATGAAACAGATCAGCAGCAACATGATATGGTTTTTCACAGTGATTATTCTAGTTAGAGATTCATGAGTCTAACAGCCTCAGGGTAGAAGCTGTTCCTCAGTCTAGTGGTTCTACACTTAATGCTCCTTAACCTCCTTCCTGAGGGGAGTGGGGCAAAAAGTGTGTGTGCTGGGTGGGTGGGGTCCTTCATGATGCAGGTGGCCCTCTTCCTGCATCTGGAGGTGTAGATGTCTGTGATGGTGGGGAGGCTGATTCCGACAGATTTCTGTGCAGCCTTCACCACTCTCTGCAAAGCTTTTCTTTC